TCCGACACCAAGGCGCTACTTCCACCGCTGGAACTACATCCTGTCGGGGAGTCGGGCTCCGCTGCTCGGCACAGGAGACTGTACGGTGAGGAGGAGGAGGAGGATGAGGAGGAGGAGGAGGAAGAAGCCGGGCTGTGGAGGAAGAATTCTGCATGTGAAGGGCTGAGAGTGGGAGTGGCTTCCAGAGGAAAGGCGGGACCAATGGGGGAGGAGTGGAGGAAGGAGGGTGGAGATTGAGGTTCATCTCTGGGGGAGGAGGAGGAGGGAGAAGAGGAGTCCAGGATGCTAAGGAGGAAGAAGAAAGAGGAGCATGAAATACAAACCAGGACAAAATGTGCAGAACACAAAATAAAAAGGCCGTCAATGAGCTGCAGGGTTCAAAACAGAAGAGTCACAGTAAATTTGGATTTCCCATGAACGCATCACAAGTTTGGTTCGAAGAGTTTAAACGTGCTTTCTGTGTAATGACCAGCAGGGGGCGCTTTAGAAGAAAATGAGCATTTAAATCTGAGCTCGTAGTCGTGCAAAGGTGACGTTTGTTCGCGTTCATCGGTACAAAGTGTCGCGTTTTTAATCCCAGATCGTGTTTTACGATAATGAAAACAAGTCTTTTCAGATAAGCTTTGGTCTGTGTGCTTCTCTGATCAGTGAAAGCTCCACCCGTAAAAGTGGGAATCATCATTAATGTTGTGCACATGGACATGAGTCTGCGTGGGAGTGGAGCGCTGCAACGTTGCGTTCAAGAGCAGGAAAACTTGTAGGAATACTCACATTCACACAGAGGTTGTATTTCACAAACCGTGTGAGTCTGCACAGCGTGTTCATCATACATAATACACAAACGTCATACACATTTGCACAGATTATTATTATCTGTTATTTTAAAAACAGAGCAGCATCGTTTGTTTTTGTTTTTTTCAGATGCACAAAGAACAAAGTTAAACTCGGGGAACGCTGCCACACAGTGTTCGCATTAGATTTTAAAGAGTTTCCAAAAAGTACCTTCAAATGTTTTAGATTTATTTGTCTGTGCTACTCAAAAAGTGCTGCAAAGAAAACTGTCACACATCCAGAAAAAGCGCGTTAACTTCACTAAAACGTTTGAATCTGAGGTCGTTTTCAGGCCGAGGCTCCGTGAACTCACCGCTGCGGGCTGAGCAGGTCGCCCGTCATGCAGAAGTCCTTCAGCTCCATCGTGAAGCTGCTGTGGAGCGTCCAACACCCGAGTAATAAAAGTCTCTGAGGATACTTCGAGGTCCAACAAAAAAGTGGGACAAACGTCCTCAAACTCTCTCAGAGGGACATCTGAGGCTTTCAGGAGTCTGCACTGTTATTTATCGGTTTGTTCTGTCATCGCAAGGGATGGGAGCGAGGGGGCGGGGCCTGTAGGATCAGCCAATCAGCATATTGCTTCTCTGAGAGGGCGTGGTGGGGTTAGCTTCTCCTCCACTTCCACCAATCATCTCTATTGATTTGGACAGTGACAGATGTAGGCCACGGTGATGTCACCCTGTAGCGTCTACATCTGTAAATATGCAGCACACAAATACAAGCATACTGTAATTCATGAAACTGGATGACGGTAAAAATAAATAAAATAAAAAAAAGAGACGCTAAGAGCACGTGAAGCCTGAAGGTCCGTGAGGCGTTCAGGAGCCTTGAAAAAGTTCCTACTTTTCCTTCTTTCACGCCATCACAAAACACAATCAGTACAGCTATAACCCTGTTTTTTTGCCCCACTGCGGGCTTCCGGACGCTGGCCAGTCAGAAGGAAGAGGCCGTTTTAGGGACTTTAAAGAGACGCATGTTTCAGACAGAGGATGAAGTGAGGCACCGAGACAGAAGGAAGCGTGGAGCTGAGAACGAGCAGCGGTCCTGCTTTAGCAACTTTTCATGTATTTCATTTCATTTCCAGATTAGAACTTTTTGTTTTGTCGTGTTGTTTCGAGCTGCCTGAACATCTGGCCAGACGCTGATAACGATGTCACAGATTCTTAAGTTTGAGTAAAACTTTTATAAAACTTCTATTTAAAAAAA